GGGGGGGTTATGCCACTGCTAGTCTTTCTCCCAAAATACTACTTTCTTGGCTGTCTCCAACTTCAAATACTTTTGAGTCACTGACCTAAAACAGGTCAGCGCCTAAAGAAGGTATTGAAACTTTTGGAATACAAAAAACAAAGCCAGGGTAAGGTCAGTAGTCCTAATCTTTGTGCTAGACACATTTGTCAGTGAGTAAAACTGCTGAAGCCACTGGATCTGCACAACAGCAGGGAACTAGCACTTTCAAGTGGAGCAGTTGGCAATGGAAGCCCAAAATATTCTCAGTATAGTTTTTCTTTAAAAGGTGCCAACAGACCAAGCTCATTTAGGCATTCAATGCACTGGACTGCTGCAGGACTGGGTGTACATTAAGTGTCATCAATTTATGCCAGCATAACGCAGATTGTCTACAGCAGGTCCATACTGACCTAGTGGAGACACACTGCTATGCATAAGGTTGAGTGGGATTTAATCTGTCACTTGAATGTACGGTATTGTGAACCATGGAGGAAGATGGAGGGTATTTTGTGTCAGGCTGGCTCTTAGTGGGGTGATCTAAGATGGCATTTTTTCTGGTAGGAGTCTCCACCATCTGGTCCATGAGATCACTCCTCTGCCTATTGACTACATTACCTATATACTGACTTCAGGGCTCAAGGAGGTAAACACTGCCCTCGAAACAACTAAAAGGGGCAAGATCCAGAAATCACACTATATGCAGCACAATGGTATACTGCTCCATGATGTATGTCTAAGATTGTTATACTCCATGTCAGACCATCACAGAATATTGAGCATAACATATTCAGAAAGAAAAATTGAATTACATATTCAATTTGTCAAGAATTTGTGGCTTATGGCAACAATAGATGCCAAAAGCTGTGCCATCTGGTTACATTTGAAATGAATGCTGGTTAGAACTAGGAATCTGGATTAGTTTACAGAACTGATCCAATGCACTGTCACTAAAATATGGAAACTAACATCTTAATTTCAGGTAAATTTTATATTTCTCTTGAAAGAAGTACCAAGAGCAGGGATTGCACTGTCAGCACCACAGATGATGCCGTCATGTTCATTTACATGCAGAATATACTTCTCACCAGGGGAAGTATACAACAGACCTCACAAAAAGTTAGCCCCACACAATACACCTCACCAGAAGTTGGGGGTAGTTAATATACAACTCCAAGAGTTATGGGCACACATACAGCTGTATTAGAATTCAGGGTACACAATATACCTCACAAGGACTTCAGGACACACAAAATACCTAACTAGGAGCTGGGGCAATCAATATACCACTCCGGGAGTTAGGGAAACACAAGATACCTCACCAGAAGTTAGGAGCACACAAAATACATCTTTAAGAGTTAGGGGCACACAATACAGTTCTAATGGGATTCGGGGTACACAACATACCTCACCAGAACTTCAGGACACACAAAATACCTCACCAGGAGCTGGGGCACACAATGAACCTCAACAAGAGTTAGGGCACACAATACACCTAATGAAGAGTTGTCGGTACACAAGATACCTCACCAGGAGTTGTAGGCACAACAATATACCTTACCCAGAGTTAAGGACACACGCACAGTGCACCATTTTAGGTCTTACAAATTTGTAAGTATAGTTTCCCTGCCATTCTGTCTAAGCAATACTTTATTAAAATGGTTAACGGTACAGAGTAATTAAAAGTGATTACAGAGGATAAAGTTACAGAGTAAAGTCCATCTTCAGTTAGAACTGTTTCAAATTGGGTGGGGAAGGATTAGAATTTCTGTCATATTTTTATCCCTGTATGACGCCACAAAGGAAAGTCCCCCCCCCACACCTTTATGCCTGTGATACCAGGACAAGCAATATGGAGAATGGAAGTCATGAGGACAGAAAGGCAAAGAGCAATAACCTTTGAACCACTCCCTATTCTGCAAGAAGAAATGGCCTCCAATAAAGGCCAGACATCATTATTAACGTAGCAGATTTTCTTCCTTCCCAGTCCATCAAAAAAGGTTCAGACTGGAGCTTTATATGAAAAAAAAGTCCTATACTGTATCCGCTCCATATGCCAATGAAAATAGTACAATATACAGTTTCGTCGTAAATGAGTGGAAGAGATTCCTCCAGCATACTAGGTGCTATGCCAAAGGGCAGAGGGACAGTGTCTTGGCAAAAGGGTCCCCCTTTCCACGGATACTCACCCACGACTTCTTCCATCAAAGCTGGCTACAATCCCTTGAGGTCATGTACTCTTGTTCCCATGGGACTAGTACTGTGGTTCAGCAGCCAATTGCCGTGCTTGAGCAGTGTCACATGACAGGGGAAGTAATGTCACCACTCCCCGTAGCTTTTGACACTGGGGGTTTTAGTACTGGTTCTTATGGAGGAAGGAGTGGAGGGGGAAGTGCTAGCAAGATGAGTATCAGTAGTTGGGAGTCCGTTTGAAAAGACCTCTCACTTTGCTGCGAAGGGGCAAGATAACAGTGTCTCGCGGTGATATTTGCTAGAGCCAACTCATAGTTTTTTTATATTTACCTTTTTCATTGGCTATTTAGCAATTTTCGAGTAGCCAAAACAGCAGGAACAGCTTAAAATGATTTTGAATTTTCTTTCTCCACCATAAGCTCAAATGAAGTACACTCCACTCTTGACTATACATAAGAGATGACTGAATCCGTTTTTGGTTCTAGCTGTGCACAGATGAATCACAATATGCATACTTCTTTAAATGCACAAAGTCTGATTTGTGAAATTATCCTCCATTAGAGCAATTCAGGATTCCTATTAATCACCTGCATGAATAATGCAGACTATATAAATGAGTGCATGCAAGGTCGGACAGGGGCACTGGGGCCCACCAGAGGGAAGGAAAGTTGTAGTGCTGCACTGCATACAGCTGCAGATGTGGATTACTGTGAGTGGGTGTGGAAGTATTGCTGTTTATAAGAGCATTGTTTGACGGTTATAGGCCGACAAATTATAAAATGCCGCTATAATACAGCAGGACCCATGAGCCTAGATGAATACATTGGTTGCCACTGCTTTGCTCTCCAAAAATAACCAGCTACCTGTCATGTTGGTCCAGTGGAATTAAGAATCCACTGGATTAACATAATCTTTCAGAGTCCCTAACCTGGAACAAGTGCAAATGAGGAGTCCTAACTTTACATTGTCCGGGAATGTTACAAATGATTAAAGCCAATGCTAGCCAAACCTTACAGTGTTGAATGGGAAAGCTATCAACTTCTGTAAGCTTTTAAAATGCTGTGTTCCCGATGAGATTTTTTTTTTGTCAGACTGTAGACCCATAACCTGGACAAGAAGTGAGGGAAAATCTCACTGGAGATACAGAAAGCAATAGAAACGGTCTAACCCTTCCTCATGTTACCTAAAATAAAGGCTAGGGCGGGGAAGGGTATTTCCTATGTTCTGGTGGTGAAAACGACTTAATCATATTAATAAATGTCAGATTCACAAAAATAACTTTAGAAATCTAGAAGATTCAGTTTATTCTAAATATCTGCACCAGTAGAGTGTGCTCTGGAATGATAGGTATTTGCACAGTGTGCCCAATTGTGACGGCATATACTTTTAACATTAGTTTGCAGCATTTGTACCCTAAGGCCTAGAGAGTCGTGTCCTGCCAGACTGGTTGTTGTCTGTTGTCATGGGCACAGACAGAGGTTCTAAGGTTTCTTCCCTAGGGAAAAAAAAAAAGGAAGAGATTCTTACTGCCCCTGTGTCCCCATTGGGGTGAATTCCTCTTGCTTTCTGGTCTGACACACAAGATATATTCAGGAAGTGGGAAGCATTCAAGTTTTTCCCTTACTTTGTGTTATGTCGTACACTCATCAGTTAGAAATTTCACAAGATCGGAAATGCAAACCTTTAAATAGTTCTCCGAGTATAGGTTCATTATGGCTTACAAATGTATTAAACATAACCCATTGTTCTAAACGTAAGAGTTTTAATGTTAAGGAGGCTGTCCTACTGAAAATGCTAGTTGTCTCTGGTTATAACATTTTCTGAGCCACAGACCTGGAACTAGTATTGGGAAGTAAAGTCTGAACTCATGACATGTATACTTTTCCAAGTCAGTGGATCAGTGAATATTAAAGCCAGGTCAGTGGATCAGTGAATATTAAAGCCAGGTCAGTGGATCAGTGAATATTAAAGCCAGGTCAGTGGATCAGTGAATATTAAAGCCAGGTCAGTGGATCAGTAAATATTACAGCCATTGAATCAGATATATTATAAAAAAAAGGTATGGGGCACCACTTGCTAGATACACAAACATAATATAGAGATTCCTACACTAAGGGAATGTTGCTTCAATCCAATCTCCCGATTTTAACTCACTGTATAAATCGGTCTCATCTAGGATTTCAGATTTGATAATTTCTTCAATAACATCTTCCAGGGTAACAATTCCGAGCACCTCATAAAACGGGTCCCCTTCTCCTTCATTGTTCACCCTCTGTACAATCGCCAAGTGAGATTTACCTGCAGGAAGAAGAAAAAAAAAAAACATAGGACACTATGAGTCTATCACATTGCCATGATTTTCCTGTCACAGTTTTTAAAGGTGTAATCTAATGTTACCTATATCTCCTTCTGAAAATTATGCTGATGCAATTTTCCTCAACAATTTAAGTCCCTTTCCAGGAACAAGCATGCACACTAGGAATTCAGATTTCACTTCTCTCATAGCAGTACTTGTTCCTTGGCTCAGGAACCACAGGGACCAGAGATAGCCAGACAGATAGCGTTTTGAGAAAGAGGTCAACAAAAGCATTATCTTTCTCTCAGTATAGGTTTCCTTATATTATATAGTCACCAAATGAAGTATTCACATACAAAAAAAAAAAAAGAATTAGACAGAAGCTGCAGAAAACCTTTATACCAAATGCATACAGCCATTTATACCAGAGCAGCTCTTTTTACCAGTGCATACAACCATATAAAACCAAAACAAAATATGGATGGCCAAATTCCTTCCCATCTGAGCAAACAGTCTCGGGTACATAAGAGCTGGATACAAGAGATAAGCTACATTTAGGGTGAACGTGCATTTTATCATATAGCGGAGGAGTAGAACTAACCATGGACATGAGGTGATAGTTGCCCAATTCATTTGATTTTAGATCGTTCAGGTGACATTTCATGTATAGCTATCTTCCTAGGTGCCACCACCAACTGTCAGGAGTAAAGGCAGTTCAAAAAGGTCTCTTCCCAACATACAATTTCTAGATTGGCAGAGCATACCTGGCAGGTTTATGGACCAATCTGCAACACCCATTAGATTTTCCTGAGATAGTCAGATCATGCCTGCAACAACAGCCTTCTCGAATGCCTTTGGGAAACATAAGCACTGATGTACCTTTGTCTGAACAGAATCATCTAGGTTAGAGCCTATGCTTCTCTAGGGAGTTCCATTTTAAGGGTGCTTTCAATGCCAGAATAGCCAGCAAGTGTTCAATGGCATGTGTAAGGGAGTTCCAGAATAAAAGAAGGTGCTGGAGAAGTCTTAAAGGCAATAGAGTTACTACAGTAAATCAGATGAGGTGGTCATCTCCACAGCACTTGAAAGAATGCCTGGACATTTGAGAGGAGGAGGGAATTTAAGAAGAAGACTCTGTCAGAAAAGGAAAAAAACAAACAATAAAAAAGAAGAAATGCTCCGTGTATATAAAAGGACAAACAGTTCAAGGGTGAAATTTTGAAAAAACCCAGACTGTCCCCCCAGAAAATCAGGGTCATTTGGGACAGGTGGCAACTGTGGGGAAAACACTAAAAAATAAGAATTCACATTTTTTACAAGTTTATTTGCACAACCTTCAACCTTCTAGTGTTTAATAACTGCTTAATTGTCCTTTGAAATGATTCAAGTGAAAGTTGTAACAATAATTTTTTTTTTTTAAATGGAGGAAATACTATGCATATGCTTAGTTTTACTGACCAAGCTCCTTCTAAGTGTCAGCCGCTTTTGACAAAAGCAAAAAGTGGCTTGGGACAAAGGGAGGCATGTATGCCTCATTCCAGAATCTCCTTGGTTACCTTAGCCTTTCTGCTGCTCTGAAGTGCAGTCTAATCCCAGGTAATTACCAGCAAGTGGTAAAGTTGGAAAGCTTAGTAAAACGTATCAGAACAATTTAAGCACTATGAACACCATCAAGGTAGTACAAGAAAGATCCCATCAAGCTTACAGATCTTTGCAGCACCATGCCAGAACTGAAAGCCCATCTAAAAAAATCCGTGCCATGTATGGCATGGAACCAAAATAGCAGACATTTTGTTTTTTTTTATAAGTGGAGAAACAGAAATAATAAATTTGTCCACAAACCAGACAAAAATAATACTTTTCCAGGCTAATTTAGTGCAAGCATAAAATAAGTCCAGGAATGAAGAGCGCGCTTTCCAGCTGATATAAACAATAGAGCAGCACAATAAATATCATTTTCCCAGGGTCTGTCGTAAGTGGTTAAAAATTCCTGGTGAATGCTCTTTGCTGAAAGTTGAAATTCTTTAGCTATTCTCAGCTTGTGATCATTTAAAAGGAATTTTCCAAAGCAGGGTCTAATATTAGACTTAAAATGAAGTTTCCATTTCGCTCCAGTTATATTCTCACCAAAGTAACTGCTATATAATCTGATTGTCTTGGAGCCACTAATTTAAATGCAGATAGACATACTTTACATACCAGCTGAAGACCAAGAGATTTTCTATTGAAGGGAGATCAGGTTTAATTATTGATTCAATAGCTAAGACCATAAATATCTATCATGAAACTTTAAGTTGATGTTGAAAACAGATGTATAGAATAATTAAAATTAAGACACGAAAATAAAACTGAATGAAACAATGGTGGGAGCAGCACAATGGTGATGACTGGCTACACAAGATTAGCGGTGGGACAATCATTTTTGTGTAGACACCAACTGACCAATCCTTTACATGAGAATGATTGGTCAGAAATGTCTCCTGTTGCTGACAGACTAAAATGATCATCCCTAAATATGCTTAAACCTAGCATGATCAGATCATGACATTCTTATTTCTATGGGTAATTGTAGGTTACATTGCCATTGGCATTGCTGAAGGGAAAATGTTCTGCTAGCCCCAAGTGATTGCCAAATATTGGACTTGTCTGTCAAACCAATGTGATCCTTTTAGAAGACCGTAGCGTGCTGGGAAACCAGGAAGGCCCAAGTGACTATGACTAGATGACATCTTTTTGGCTCAAACATAGCATGGTATACCTACTGTCACTCTCACACCAAGCAGATCAGTTCTGGAAAACCACTTAGAAGCAATAGATTGCCAAGCAGGACTTCAATATTTTAAACATTGCTGGGTGGCGGTGATTCAAAGATAGGAGTCCCTAGTTGGGCCAAATAGCAGGGTACTTTAAATCCCTAATTAAAAGCGAAAATTGCACATTTTGTGCATATTATATATGGCATTTGCTTATTATATCATTGATTTAGCCAAAGCTAAAACTGCATTTGATGACCTCACAATTGCTCCTAATTACCCCCTTGTAAAATGTGATTAAATATCACATGTCCAAATTCAAGCAGGTTGCTAATGGTTGTTCTACATTCTCAGTTTCCTGCCTTACCCAGCACTTCACACTTCTCAGTGCAATGCAATATTTTAGCACAGTTGGCTGTACCATCCTCACCCAAGCAATGCTACAATGTGCTCTGTGAGAGAATTGTAAAACTCGGCTTCCCAGGGCAGAGAGCAAGCTGTGGAATTTTAGGGTGTGAATCATTGTATCATTTTATAATATTGCAAGTTATCTACACAGTCAGGAGTCATAATAAAAACCGCTCACAAGGCGTGTATATTGAAATAGTACCATGTACAATATGTGCCAAAGAGTCTTGGGTTACTACCATAACCTACAATGTGGATACGATTCAAAGCAGTCAGGTTTGCTCCAGATCCAAAGCAGCTGAATGAGCAAAGGATCGGAAAAATAATTCAGAGTACTAGGGGAAATTTTTCTATTTTCAAGCGCTCCTTAGTTTAGTCTCAAATCAATCAACAACCCATACTGCAAGGATTTTTAACAGGATATTTCAGATTCCTCTTTGTTTTATTATATGAATACAGCTATGTCCACAACAAAGACAGAATCAAATTCCTAGTAAATATATTCAGATTTGGAGCACAGAATTAGGTTAGTGCAGAGTGTCAATCAATGTCACAAATCATGCATATGTCTGCTTCTCTCAATGAGGATTCATCCACCTAGCACTGGCAAGGGGAGGTCTCAATTTTTTAGAGCTTCTAGTTCAGGAGGCAGAAAGTTTCACTTCCAGCAATATAAAAACACTGTACAAAACGATAACAGTCTGGTGATTTATTTAGTAAATTTGTGATTCTGTGTATGGCTTTGCCCAAAACACTAGACTACTAAAAATTGTATTGTGTATAAAAAGGCTAATTATATTGTAATGTATTAAGCATAAAAAAGGTTACATGCCAACAGAGAGATTCTAGAGATTACCAAGATTTTGTAATGTGACAATTTTGAGAATACAAAGATTTCTGAAATACTTGGACTGCAGCTCACTATTATTTTCATAATCGATTAGTTGTACAATTATTTTTCCAACTAATCGATTGGTTGTATTAAAAAAAATTCACTCTCCTTTTTTTTATAGCAATGCTCCCCCCTCCCGCTAACTTTATGTCTTTATACTTACCTTAGTAACCAGTCTGGTCCGCCTACCCCAGTCTAGTCTACCTATCTGCAGGAAGAAGTCTTATCCTTTTAAAGGCCTAAAAAGAAAAATGGCAAATAAAACCAAAATGCCACAAGGTTTAGGCCATAGCTCTTCTTTGGGTTGTATGCTTGTATGTGAAGTATAGACGGAACTCGATGGACTTGTGTCTTATTTCAGCCTGACTTACTGTGTAACTATTTAACTATGTAAGCAGGTACAAGGTGGTTTAGTTGGCATAGGGAGAGTGGTCAGTTGGGATACTGTTATTTGAAAGCACAGTTGCTCTTTTAGGCCCCATTCACATTGAGCGATTTGCAAGTCGCTCGATTTGCATTTTGCACGATATCACGCAAATGCTTGCATTGAGCAACCTATAATCGCGGCAAAATCCGCTCCAAAAAAGGTCCTGCTGTAGCGACGCACGACCCGCGACAGCGACGGACAGAGCCCCATTGAGATGCATTGGAGAGCGCTATCGCGCGGTAAATGGCCACGATATCGCGGGAATTACCGCGCGATAAATCGCTCAGTGTGAACGGGGCCTAAATCTTCCTGTTGGCGTTATGTACCCTAGTAAAGTTACGCCTGTTGCCCATCACATGTTGAACAGAGACACTAGCTTTATGTTAATGAGGCTGAAGACAGCCATATGATCCATTTCAGCAAATGCCACTAGACTGATTAAAACATCCACTAGTGGGGCACTTGTTTACAGGTCCACTTTGTAAAACACTGCAGTGTCCATAAGACTTTAAGAGGTCAGCT